CCCTGGCATTGGCAATTTGTTCATCTAATTTCTGGATGTTAGGAAACAGTTGACAGGAGAAACAAGGGGTAGGGAGATCGTAGACGGAGTGGACACATATAGAGGGTTGGAATAAATAATGCATAGAGCTGATTTGCCTAGACATAGAAGAGGGGGGTAGACACGCGCCATTGACCAAAACAGAAAGTGGGCGATTGTTATCCCTACAGAAACTGTAATGGAGGCCCTCCAAAAAGGCAGAAAATTGAAACTTATTGGAAAAAAAAGAAAAAATGTACAAAGAAAACTTCAGAAAGAATATCAGGTGTGAAGAAAAAAAAATGTGTAGTCAAGCCCCTCACCCCCCCCCCTTTTTTTTTTTTTAAACTGCGAAAGTTTGGCAGGACTTTTTTTTTTTTTAACCACTTATATCACTGGCAGACTAAACAGGAGAGGTGGAACCTAAAAGGTCTGAAATGTAATCACAGAAGTAGTTCTGCTTTTCATCCTCTGGCACAATGAAGTTTAAACTCCAAACAACAGGAAGCCAGTGAAAGAAACTGGAACGGAGTCGTACGTGAGAATGGCAGCTACACGTGGATGGAAGAGAGGGGAATAAGGAGGCAGCAGTGGATGTAAAAATCAAATTATTTTTCATTCTCTAACTTAATTCCATATTTTTAACATGTGCATATGTGCATCCAGGGAGATGGGTAAGACTTTTCTCAAGTGTCCTAAACCTGGTGATACCAATTAGATGTTTTACCCTATCATCAGACCCATGTGCCGCAGTCTCTTTCCCCAATGCTTCACCAAGCTTGAATCAGTTTGGGTGAAGAAAAGCTCGACCCAGGCAAGATATATGGGACAGTGTAGGTAAGTGCAAGCTTCTTGGCATCAGCAGTTGTCCACCGTCTCTGCCCACTGTCTGTTGAGAAGGTTGGATATTTCTGTACGAGCTTCTGCCCGAATTGCCAGCCCGTAATGACCCAGAATACTTCAACCTTTTCTTTCCAGAGCAAATCTCAAGATCACCTAAATACTGGATGGCTGCAATGTCTCCTAAATGGGGCTACTGGCATTTCTGGAAATGCCAAAGTAGCATTAAAATTCCTTTTTTTTTTTTTTTGTCTATTTGCTTGAAGAATAAAATGCAAGCACTAGCTACTTGGAACAGTGGCTATGTATTGTAATAAGCTACACAGTTAGAAGATATCCTTCAATGCTGCATAATGTCAGTTTGGAAATGTTTTCTTTTATTAAACCAAAGAGATTAAATCTAGGTGATTTCGTGTCTCTTACGCACTTTAGGCACCTATTTTGTTCACAGGAACTCATTTTCCACTAAAATCCACAGTCAAGGTTTGTTATTCCTTCTGAAAAGAACAGTGACCCTATCCTCTTTATGTTTTACTGTGATACTAGAACAAAATGAAAGTAAAAGGTTGTACAAACATTTGCTTTATAAAGGTGTGCAATTTACATATCTGATATTTAGAGCAGTTACCGTCATGCAACTTTTGGAGTTTCCTGAAGTCAGTATACATTTCACTTTGTATTTGACTTGGAAAAAAAAAATATCTTCAAAAGAGTGAAGAGGCATATATAATGAAAACGCAGTTCACAATCGTCATTGACACTGCAAAATTATGATTCACCTCCAAGTTAAATTAGGCTTTAACACTAGAAAACTTTCAAAAGACTCGGTGGCAGCTCATTTACAAATATATTTATAATGAATGCATTGATACAGAATGACTTTATAAAAAAGCAAGGCAATCTTTTATATAGACATAATCAACATTACAATAATTCAGATTAAAAGTACATTTTTGTAGACTGTTTACACTCTTATTTAGCTTTTGACCACAAATTATCATGGTCTGGTATATTCCCACAGCAAAAATCCTGTGCAGTCCCAGTTAAGACCTAAATATCATAATAATAAACATAATCTTCTGATCTTTGCTAGAATAAAAACAAAAACCATTTGATACCGTTTGTAGATGCTATAATTTGTTTGTAATTGTCCTAACTGTGCCTTGAAGTTTGTGTGTTGTGCAAATCACTGCCAACTGCACATCTAATTAAAAGCAAGTTCTGGCATGCCGGTTCAACATACAACTGAGGTGCAATATTGACTATACAAAAGCACTCTGCTGCATTTAGATTCCTTGGTTATGAATGAAGACATCCTCTGTCCCTTGATATGTTAATGAGTTTGTATTGATCCTTCAGAGATTTAAAAAAGAAGAAAAAAAAGGAAAGGAAAAAGTAACAAAGTAACATCTGTTAACAAAGCTTTCCACTTTAAAAAAAAAAAAAAAGCTATTTTGCAGACTTCCAGAATTAAATATGGTACTGAAAGTTTTTGCGCTTTAGGTGATGCAGTGGGTTTAAGTGCTAACCAGCTAGAGTACTGCTTTTTAAACCATTTACATGAGCAAACACTACCTTCAAGAAGTCTGAACATGCAATTTCTTACACAACATCAGCTAAAGATGGACAAAACTGCACAGAAAGTCTAAGAGAGAGGCACTGAAGCACCAAATATTCTACATTACTAGATTGTTTTAAAATAAAAGAACATGGATTTAAGTTTCCAATAGCATGTGGCAACCTCAAAGTGCCAATTTTGAACCACGTCACCCTACTTTCACACACAGTATTTCTACTGCAGTTACCAATGTTTGGATATTCATCTAAATGTTCCTGTTCAGAAAGCTAAATGAGGTGGTCAGAGGAGCAACTTCAATATTTTTATAGTGTTTATAAACAAACATGTTTTTTTCCAGCCAAGAGTCCGCAGTCAACTTTCTACTTGGCCAATGAAAATGCAAGTACGTGCTTCAAAACAACTCACGTTGACAATTGTTCCTCCTTTACATTTAAACGCTCCCTAATCTATTTTCTACTTTATCAGATTTCCATAACACTATATTCTGTAGCACAGTATTTTGCTTGTGTTAGTCAAGGCATGCTCCATGACAGTGCCCCATATGGTTGCCAATATTGCCCAAATTAGGCAATACAAGTCATGATTTGCTTTTGCATCCAGACCAGGGACCTAAAGATTGTCACACTTATTATAATTATGGTCTCTCAGGCTAGGTACAGACATTCAAGAAGTCAGGGGCAGAATCGAACCTACAAAGTTTTTCTGTAAGCAGCTTAGTTTAGCTCAGTGCTGAACCAAACACATATTTGCCCTTGGGGTGGGGGGGAGGGAGGAAAGAAAGGAGAGGGGGCAAATCTTAGACCAGGTACCACCATTTTTAAACCAGTCTGTGCACCAGAACTAATCTGTTCTGTTATGGGTATACACTGGTTGTGTGTGCTGAACTTCTCTGACAGGTACAAATTCATTTCTAATCACTTATACCAGTTAAAGTGTAATGTCTGTACCTGGCCTTAATGCATTTCAGGAGATAACGCTAGTCAAATCAGTATGACAAGGGACATAAAAGTTTTAATCGAAACATCTGGAACAGCCCTTTGTCCACCTGCTACTTAAATACCCTTCAGAATCCTGTTCCTCCAACTTGCTCATGATTGAATACACTATATCTTATTTTACTTATTTTTAATTTGACCAGCATGATGTAAAATCTTAAAATGTATACAAGAGAGCACGAATTCCAGCATATGGTATTTGGCAGAAAAAGACAACCTAGAAACCTAGGTGACAATCTAACACCCTGGAAAATCAGGAATTCAGAATACAGAATTATTTTGCTTGCTAAAGCTTATTCCCAAATCCAAGATACTCATTTAATAGCCAAAGTACATCATTCGAGTTATAGGGAAAACCTTCTGAACTCTTGAAGTTTCTTTTCTGCCCCAGAACGTGTCTCGTGCTGCTTTGAATCATCTCTCCCTCTAGACACTCCCAAGCGTTCACCTCCGAATTTCTAAAAACTTAAAAACACTCCCAAAGATGACTCGGGAGTATTTAGCATTACCACAACTACACTAGCACAAGGATACTCTGATAAAAAAAAAATCCTCTTTTTAACATCACTATATTTTGATTCAGTACTTTATTCATTCCTCTAAGTGAAATCAAAAGCCTGTGTGTTTATTTGTAAGACTGTAACAAGCACTTTTGGTAACCACGTTCTCATCCTGTGGAGTATTATAAAGGGAGGGGTCAGCTCAATCAGAGTCATTAACCATGCATCTTAACTAATCCGATCACAATATTTACATCCTAAACAATCTCACTTCCGTGAATACAGCCCAACAACATCCATACCTGAATCTTTCTAGCCTATGATAACTGGAAGCATGTATTCCACTGGCAGGGGGCAGGAGGTGGGAAGGGCAGGACTGGCACCCTGCTGTTAGATACACTACTACTTCAGGCTTTTGGGAAGTCTCTACAATGATTCTTCTTGTATTATACTTCATTGTTAAAATCTTGCCCTGTTGCAAAGGACAGAGACGAGATGATTTATAAGTTAAAGGATAAACTCTCATTCAAGGGGAACTGGAGGAGCAAATGGGGGAAGACAACCAATATAACTTAAAAGACACGAGGCAAAGTCATCTTTGTTTTGAGGAAATTCATCAACTAACCAAAAAAAAAAAAAAAAAAAAAAAAAG